GGGTGAAGGGCAGGCGCAGGAGGGAAAGACCCTCTATGAGGTGGATTGATTCAGTGACTGGGGTAATCAGGATGGGTGTGTCAGAGGCAGTGCAATTGGCACAGGATAGAGCAGGGTTTAGGGCTGTTGTACATAGGGTCGCTATGAGTCGCAAGCGACTCGATGACACATAACAACAACAACAAATGCATGTCTAATGTGAGGCACCAGAGACTCAGTCACATATGGGGCACCAAGAGGCCCTGAGTGTGGGAACCCAGCCTGTTAAGGAGAGTGTTCTCCTAAAAGTCTGTGGCCTCACGTATCCAGAAATTTCCATCTCAGGAGACCAGGACAGCTGGACACACCTGACCTTGAAAACATGAGAGTCAGTCTGCTTGGCATTTTTGAGAGACCTGGGAGCTGGACTTGCTTTGTCCAAGAGGAAAATACTGCTTAGCCAGCTGCTTTTCTTTGCTGGGCAGGTCTTTTATGTGTTGTCTGTTGCATGTTAGACTCACCAAGGGTCCAGGTCCCTGGTGACCTGGGCAGGAGCCTGCTAAGAACAGGAAAGGACAGAGGCTTCTTTTAATTTACCGGGCAGGGCTGGTGAGAAGCTTAAATGTATAAGAATCCAAATCGTCAATAATCTGAGTTTTGCATTTTTTTCCTCCTCAATATTCTTGCCCCCAGGCTATGCAATCTCTCCTCCCTCTCCCAGGATAAACCTATGAACTTTCTTGGAGCCTACATACTGCGTACACACAGGCATTAAGCTGCTGCACAACTTGATTCTTTGGATAGTGCTTTGGCAGGAAGAAAGAGATGCTCATCAAGGGCAGGCAAGCTGGTTAGTTGATCGGCTGGATCAGTCAGTAGATTAAACCTTTATGCTGTACTGTAGTCAGATACAATGAGAAAACTAGTTCAAATCCAGTTACATAGGGGAGAAAATACTGAGGAATCTAGGCTTTTCCAATTGGAATTCCTATTTAGGAAAATGTGAGTGCAGAATAAAGGCCCCAGTGAAAAAATGTTGGGTGGGAAAAGGCTGGCAGGTGGCTATGCATTTGCGATCCCACAATCCAGCCCCTGGCCTGTGTTGGGACCGCTCCCCTCCAGCATCTCTCTTATTTCGAGGCATTTTGAGTCTGATGACCATATGATATATTACTCTGGAGATGAAAAGACAAGGAAAAAC